TGAGATCATGACCTGAGCCAAAACCAAGAGTCAGATGCTCAACCGACTGAGCCACCCAGGTGCCCCTATAATAATGTGTTTTATTTTAAAGTTTATAAAACTTACTGAGAACTTATCACTATATATCCTTTTGTACCTTTTGAGCAATGGACCATGTGAATATACTACCTCGTAAAAAATAAAGTCAATACATTAAATGCTGGTCTTTGTGTTTGTACATGTGAATACCCTCTTTTATGAACAAATTTCCCATTTACAGAGTCTTTTGAAATTCAAAGAACATATTCTGTGATGGTAATGAGGATGATGGAAAGTTGTCTAACACTGTGAAGGATGTATACCTGGGGGTGATCGATTTTCAAAAAAAAAAAAAAAAAATCCAGAACAGTTTTTAAAAGAATCTAGGTGGAGGGGAAAAGGAATTTGAACTTAGGCCCTAGTGTGCAAGGTCCCTTTTGAAATTTCATGCCTAATTTCATATTTGTAACTTTGTATTCTTTTTCTTAAAGTGACCCTCCCCTTCCTATCCCGAGCTCTGTGGGGCTTCAGGCCCCATGAAACCCGGCTGTGCCCATGTATAGAGGGAAATTCTTCTTGGTCTCTACAGGGTTCAGTGTCCATCAACCTTACAGCTGGAGTGGGAGCACCTGCTTTTTTCTCTATTCTTTTCTTGCCTCTTCTGCAAGATCCATATTTGTTAACGGGAATTCACAGGGAATTACCACTCCTGGGGTAAGTAAGGCAACCCCAAGATTCTCAGCCTCCTTATCTGAGCCAGTCGGACAAGTGGAGGTGGCCCTTTTTTGGAGGCTGCTGAGCTTTGATTCAGAGGGGCTGCAGGAGAAGGCTTCACTATGGCCTCAGGCTCAAGCCAGATCTTCCTGTCCCTTGTGAGGGTGGGAAAGGCTGACACTGTCTTCTTTCTTAGGTCCCCAGGACCCTGTGTATGATTGTGACCCTGGTGGGCCAGGGAGTGATCTTAGGATCCTTAATAGTCCAACATGCTCATTAAACTATCTGCCTTTATTCCTTCTAAGTTAGATGAAAAATAAGAATTATAGTGAGTCAGTGTTGAGTACTTATCATATCTTGTCACTATATTTAGATCAAGCAGAATAACTCTGGGTGTGGACAGGGCAGCAAAGCTGAGGTATAAGTAAATACCTCTGTACAAAACTAGCAGCTGTGCAAATAAATGGGCAGAGGATCCAAGGTGTACAGGAAGGGAAGAAACAATTTACTGGAAGTGGATTGTAAAGCACAAAAACCTTAATGAGGTAAACATATTCCCAGATTAACAGAGTTCCATGGGGCGTGCATAGGGTAATTCCTGGGTGTCTTTATGACTGAACACTTAAGTGGTCTGGGGTGGGCCTTTGTGTGTTTACAAAGTTCCCCAGATGATTCTAATGTGAGTCCAGGGGTGAGAAGCACTCCAGAGTTCAACGGTATCAGTAGGGATCAATCACAAAGAAGATACTGTCCCAGAGCCTGGAAGGGTGAACTCATGTTGGGGATCACACCAGGATTTGTGGGGACCCCTCTATCTCAGGAGTTAGACCAAGAGATAAATCCTTATTCTATAGAGCAGTGGTTCTCATACTTGAGCTTGCATCAGAGTCCAGGAGGGCTTGCTGAAACCCGGATTGCTGGGCCTCTGATTCATTAGGTCTGGGACTCAAAAGTAGACATGTCTGACAAGTTCCCAGGTGATGCTGATGCTGGGAGTTTGGGGACCACACTTTGGGAACCACTGTCATAGAGGACAAGGGTCTTGGTTCTGAGAGGCAGTGTTGGGGAAACAGATAGAGTGTGAGCCTGGGGGTCCAGTGCCTGCCATGGTTCATGCACCTGCCGTGTGGCATAGGGTAAGCCATGTGCCCTTTATGGGCCCAAGGTGTTCATCCATAATCTGGGGCTAAGATGAGCTGCTTTGCCTATTCCCAAGGGTTGAGTGGGATAATCAGGAATAACTCTCACCGGGCCCTCACCAGGTACTGAGCATTTTCCGTGCATTATTTCAATTTACTTTCTCAACATTTCTATGAAGTGGGTCCTATAATTCTTATTTTACAGACTCAGAGACTGGAGTTCAGGAAGCTTCATCCCCTCGTCAAGGGCTCTGTTGTCAGAGGCAATTCCAGCTGACCCCAGAGCCCAAGCTCTCAACCGTTGAGCCAACCCTGACCTTCGGTGGGAGACCCTGTGAACACTGAGACTTGCCAAACAATCCTTAGCTGTGGTTTTTCTGAGTGGTGAGCAGGATTTGATGTGAGGGATACCTAGTGGGCGAATCAGTTTAAATCACAGTGAGCAAACCCCAATTAAGTCAAGTCTGGGCAGATAGGGAGGGCTCCAAAAGAAAACACAACAAAACACATCAATCACTCAGTTGCGATGTTTGAGAACAGGCCACTCAGATAAGACGAAGGCATTAATTAGGAGGAAAACGGAGCAGCGCAAACAGCCGGCGGGAAGACCAGAGGGCTCTTTAAAAGCCCGATGGAAGCCCAGGAAACCTGCCTCCCAGAAAACCTGGCGGCAGATCACAAATGCTGCAGCTGATGCATTAAGTCAAAGCAGCCATCTTGGGAAAAGGGCAGCTTTGAAAAGCAACAACAAAAAAAGAGGCTCACAACAGGGGACCAGGAAAAGCCACCAAGTGGGACCCGATACGTACAAATTAGAAATTATGAGCTCAGGAGCAACTCAGGGGAGCTCACGGGTATAAGGAGCCCATAAACAAAGGTTCTGCACCCCAACATAGGGGAGCCCCAGAGGCAAGCACATTTTGGTCTCTGGAAATAAGAGAGCCCATGTTCACAGGTGGGTGAGACAGATGATCCCTGAAGGCCACTTCAGCTCTCAGTTCCCAGGACCCTCTGTGAGTTGGGTTCACGCATCATTGGTCTACCAGATTTCTTTCCCCAAGTAAGCAAGTCTTTGGGGAAGAGTACAATGAATGAAAACCATTTTGACTGTCAGAAAAAAAAAATGATGAAATTTCATGCCAAAGTTTACCAGGGAAAGAAGTTGTTATAACTATCACACATGGGTAGGAATGTTGTGTAACAGATTACTTTTATAAAAAAAAAAAATGGGATTGTTGTGAGGGGTCAGGTAAGTCAGTGGATGTCTGAAAAGCACTTTGAAAATTGGAATTGTTATTCATTAGAATAAAGGCATCATAAAAAATTGGGATAATTTTCTGAATGAAGAGATGTGAAAAGTGACTTTACTTAGTAATTGCAGTAACATATAAGAGTTTCATACTATACAGAAAGAGAAGGAAGAAGGTATGAGCATCCCAGGAGGTAAAATGCTCAGCTGGGGGTGATAATGAAATGGGGCCATGTGAATGGGCAGAAAAATAGATGATCTTTAATGTGGACAAGGTCATGACACGTTCGGCAATGAGTAACCCAACAACTTATAAAATGGTTGTCTCTGACCTAATGGGTATAAACCCAGAAGGATTTCTGTCTTCGGAGCCTGTTTCTCACCTGTGATGCTAGTTTGGTCAAGATTGCTAATGAAGTATTTAAAATAATGCTAGAGCCTTAGAACTTAAAGAAGCTGTGGAAATAATGTAGTCTATTGATTACTTTAATTTTATAGGTGAGAAAATTGAGACCCACTGGGCAAAGTTGCTGGTCCAAGGTCCTATAAGCAATTAGGGAATGCACTGTATGCAAGATGGAAACCATTAATCTACCTTCATGGATCTGAGGTATCTGATAAAAGCCATCTTGAAGAGTGTGGGGGATTTCTGAAACCTTTCTAGGTTGATGAGGTGGAAAGTTCACCAAATGCTCTTTCAGAATGCCCCACTGTGTTGCTGTATAAGACAAGTCACTGAGATGGAGAGTTAGATACCTCATGACTAGTAAGATTTTCCAAATAATCTTATATAAGTGATTCCTATTAATCACACAGATGGGACTTCACAGTGAAATCACAAATGAGTTTAGAACAAGCAAAATGATGACAGCCCAAACATCTGTTGGTTTGGGGACAAAGTCTTCTTATTTTAGAACTGGCATTTAATCATCAGAGATGGGGCTCGATAGGACTTCAGAGGATTTTTAGATATCCGCCAGAAGATCTACCTCCTCTGACCCTGTGTTAATTAGACATGATAGAGGGACGCTTGGTGGCTCCATCGGTTAAGCATCTGCATTCGGCTCAGCTCGTGTTCCCAGGGTCCTGGGATAGAGTCGCGCATCGGGCTCCCTGCTCAGTGGGGACTCTGCTTCTCCCTCTCCCTTTGCCTGCTGCTCTGCCTGCTTGGGCTCTCTCACTCTATCTCCCTTTCACTGTCAAATAAATAAATAAATAAATAAAATCTTAAAAAAAAGAAGTGATAGACACTGGGATCTATGATTCTCTCCCTACTCTCCTGTGCTCTATACTTAGATTGACCACACACTGCAGAGAGTAGAAACGATGACAGAGGACAGAGAGCCCTCTTCAGATACGTTATTTGTGATGACTGTATTTTCAGACTCTGGCGTACCGGTCCCTGCACTCCCAGGACTCGTCTGAGCCTTCCTGTGATAGCTGGTTTCCTAGGAGTGAGGATGTCTGGTCTAAGTTCTTCGCCCCCTCCCTCCAGTGTATTGAATTGATTTTGAACTCCTCCCCATCACACATCAGCCCACTTCTAGCTGGATATTCGGTCTTCGTCTCTTTGGTCCAGTCCAGTCCTGTACATCGGTCATTTCCTATAATCCTTATTTAATGGGTCACCTTAATCTCCCATTTAAAACCTTTTCCATTGTTCCCATGGAATTTCACGGAATTCTCTCTGAATGTGGTTTTTCTTAAATCTTAAGTCTTCATTAGGACTATGTAAGAACACGGTCTGTGTCAGGAGCCAAGTGTAAAAACTGCTGCAACTCATAAGCACCAATTTTAAGTAAATATCAATCAACGATAAACACATCTTGATCCAAAGGGCAAAGAGCTGAGGGTAGGGAGGCAGTAAACAACCTCGTCTGATTGGGAGGAGAGGAGTGACACAGGCAAAATGTAGGGCATACGTGACAGAGAATCTTTTCTTTCTCTGCTCCCTGGAGAGGTAAGATAGAGAAACCCCAAATGCCCAGGGAAGTGATAGGGCTGCAATAATGGGGCTTTTCTTTACTCTGCTGCAAACCAGTAGTAGTCATATTCTTTTATTTGGACTTCAGAGGTGAAGTAGAAGAAGGACCCTACCTGTTCTGATGCCCGATGAAGCCACGGAAAGTTCTAGAAAAACAAGAAACCTGGAAGGGACTGACCCCAAGAAGGTTGAAGGTGAGTTAGAAAAACTGCTTTCTGCAGAAATGCGAGAGGACTCAAGGACGGGCTCAGTTTGAGGTGAATAACAGCTAAAGAACAGCAGTTAAGATGCTTAATGTTCCTATGTCTTTAAATCTTGCTCTAAATAAAATGCTTTGTTTGTACTAGTTGTTTGTTGTTATGTGCTCTTTTAGTGAGAAGGTCTGCTGAAGTCTAGTGATGTGGGGAAGCAGGCTGGTATCGGACTCGGCTCACCATGTGGTCGGGGAGCTGGGAGCTCTTTCTCTCCTCTCTCTTTCTCTCTATCCCTTGGAGGCTGTTCAGTCACTTGGGGGCCGCACCTGGTCGCAGTGTCCGTGGCACTGAAGTGACTGGTGTCGCTGGCCTGTGAAACATCCACAACGAAGACCACACTACTTCAAGGTGGAAAGTGACACACATATGCGCACGGATGAAAACTCAAGTAGGTAGCAAGTGTGTGCTCCTTGCATCATGATCTCTTTAACACAAAACAGTGCTTTTGGCAATTTTTCCCTCTCAAGTGAAAGCTTTGGATTTCAAATGGGGTTATTTGCCTTTCATCTGTGCTTTCTCTACGATTCTATTTTCTGATCCATTACTTTCATCTCTGAAACCTGTCATTGTGATTCTCCTATCAATGGAACGATCCCGCCAAAAGCTTTTTACTCTTTGGGTCAGAAGCATTTAATATCAGGCCATTTAAACGATTGTATTTGTATCGATCTCATATTTGAGAGTCGCTCAAGATGTCCTGGGAAATCAAATGTCCAAAGATAAATGAGTGCTTTTCTTTGATGTTTGTTCCCAGATGAGCAAAGCAGGTGAGGGTCCCCAGGAGAGTGCTGGGAAGCTGGAGAAGCTGGTAGGAGGGCAGGGCCGGGTGCTGGGTCCCTGAGGGAGAGGGCAGGGGAGGGCTGGGACACATGGGAGTGGAGAAGATGAGCTGAATGCGTGTCAGTGTCCGGGTGGAGAGGAGACTCTCTCCTGGCGAGCGGAGGAGCATGGCTGACCTCGGGCTGGTTGCAGGGGCCCTGAGGGGGTAAAGGTGGCAGGTGCCGTAGCTTGAAGGTGAGCCGTGGGCAGGAAGTTGGGGTCTGTGTGGGCTGTCGCCTTACGGACACCCCACAGCAAGAGAGGGGGAAAGGAAAGAGCAGAACAGATTCCAAAAGCTTGATGTGGCCTAGGGCATAGACTCCTATAGCGGCAAAAGCATTTTTGGTGGCGCTCTCATTTGAAGACTTCAATCAGCCAGTTAGAAGATTGATGGCACTTCCCCTGGGAGGGGCTCTCCAGGTTGTAGGAAGGCAGAACGCGCACTGCAGCCTCCCCTCAAAGGCGCTGACCTCCTCCTGCACACAGACGGCTGCTTGCGAGACAGGACAAGGTGCTGGATGGGTGGTAAAGTGGCAATGGGGCCGACCAGGAAAGCAGTACGTGCTCTAAGGGGGTGTTTCCTTGTCCCCTTCCACGGAGGAGTGGTTAGAAGCAGACGCCGAAGCACTGAGCTGGGGCCGCCCCAAGGCAGTCCATGCCCGAGCTCCAACTCCCACTCATGTCTGCACCTCGCCATCCTGGCCGTGAGTCACCCTTGGGTCTGTGTGACCCTGAGGAAGTTACGCAAACTCTTCGCAAACTCTAGTTTCCTCATCCGATGAATGAGGGCCCTGGGGTCATCGAGGAGATGAAAGACAGTGGTTTTAGCAGATGGGGTCGGCACACAGCCTGGCTCCCTAAATGCTCAGTACGGGTTAGCGAGTGACAGTGTTCAGAGAAGGGGGGCGATCCGAAGCCTCCTTGGGGAGGTGAGGCCTGAATCAGATCTCAGCAAATGGTTGGAGCCTGAGACAAGGAAGCTCAGAAGAGTGAAGTGGGGGTGTCCGCCATTTGAAGCAAGTGTTGTGAAGGAGTAACAGGAGGAGAGTTGGAGAGATGAACAATAAGGCAGGAAAGGGTTGGTGTTGGTTGGCTGGTGGGTGGGTTTAAACTCATCCTCAGGGGGTGCCTGGGTGGCTCAGTCAGTTAAGCGTCTGCCTTTGGCTCAGGTCATGATCCCAGGGTCCTGGGATCGAGCCCCGCATCCGTCTCCCTGCTCAGCGGGAAGCCTGCTTCTCCCTCCGCCTGCTCTTTCTCTCCCCCACCCCCGATAAATAAATAAAATCTTAAAACAACTCATCCTCAGGTGAAAGAGTATAATGAGGCTGGGGGTGGGGGTGGGGGTGGGGAATCTGACACCCTCCCCCCCCCCACAGGATGGGCCATTGCAGGCCCTGAGGCAAAACAGCCTCTAGGCAACCTGGAGAGAAAAGGTAAAGGATGCTGGGACAGAGGTCAGGCGGCTGGGACATTGCCTCTGTGTGTGTGTGTGTGTGTGTGTGTGTGTGTGTGTGTGTGTGTGTGTGTGTGATTGTACTAAGCAAAGATGGAGAGGGGCGTGGTGGGGCTGAGGGCTGATGTTTCTGGGCCAGTTCCTACCATGCTGTCACTGAGCTAGAAACTGATTACTTTCCTCTTGTCTCTCGGACATACAGGATAGTTTGGCACAGGGCCTGACCAGATACAGTAAAAAGACAAGGAGTCTCCCTGGTTGCTGGTCTTGGGTGCTGCTCTAGCCCCCACCCAACAGCCGGCTCCATTTGTTTTGCTTGTGAGGAGTCGCTAGCCCAAGACACTTGGAACCCCTTCTTTCCTACCCTTCGTCCCCCAAGTGCCTGTGTGGGATGACTCAGTGGTGGCACCTGCTCAGGGCCCAGGGGGAACCGCAGCCCAGGAGTCTGTCCTTTGCTCTTTGTCTTCCATGGTTAAAGCCACTTTGGGGCAGCAGGGAGGAACCAGCAATTTGGTACCGACAATCAGCTGTGCGGGGTTAGGGTCTTATGTCCCTCCCTCCAAACTACCTGCTGGAGAGTAGTGAGAGCCAGAGAGTTTCCCGTGGCCCACAGAGTCACGTTGACATGCTTCTTTACACTTCAGAGTGCGCTCCCCTAGGCGATCACAGTTCTCTCCTTGGAGGGGGCAGGACAGGTACTAACGACAAATGTCGGGGGGCTGAGCCCCTTCCCGGAGGTCACAGAGCGCACCGAGACTGGAAAGACTGCGAGGCCCCAGCCGCGCTAGTGGCTGTTGTCAGGACCCAGGAGCAAATGGTCCACAGGAGACCCGAGCATGGTAGTCCAGCCAGGAGGCCCCTGCTGCAGTGTGTCGTTCATCACTGGGGGACTGGCCCCTGGCTTCCACTCTCTACAGCCGTGCGGCTCTGGTGGGTCCCCACCGCCGGGAGGCAAGAGTGGACCCACTTCCTGGACTCTCCCACAATGACTTCAAAAGCAAGGCTGAGGCGGCAGCATTCTGGGGCCACTTAGGAAGACAGGATTCATTCCAGAACTTGTGCAAGTGCTAATGAGGACCAAGAATAACGCCACTGACCTGTCTTGGCAGGCAGGGCCCGGCGGGGGAGCAGAGCTGGGGTGTCCTGGAGGGGGTTCTGCGGGACTGCTCCCTCTGCCTGGGCCTGCAGAGGCCAGGGTTCAGCTCGCAGGTTCCCTTCAGCACTGCCTGGGGGTGGAGGGGGCGTGGAGAATGCCTCTGAGCCAGGGCTGGGCCCCTCCCACCTAGAAGAGGGAAGCCAAGAGCAGTGGTGCAGGTGAGAAAACCAACTTGGCAATGACCCTGACCCACCGAGACTTACGTCCCGTCCCGGGTGCTGGCGTCAGTCAGCGGGCCCATCCATCTCCTGCCCTGCCCAGGGAGGGTCTCGCCTCTTGTGCTTAGAACTAATCTGTCTGGATGTCTAGAACTGGGCAGGGAAGGGGCATTCATTTCCTTGGCTTTGGTCTGGGGCGCAGCCAGGGAAGAAGTTTATGTGGGCGTGTGTGTGTGTGTGCACACACTCACGTGTATGAGTGTGTGTGTGTCTAAACTGACAGATCATAGACAAGGCAAGAAGGGGACCACTGGTACCAGCTTTCAGCTTTTCAAGGAAGATGCAGAAAGCTTTTACGATAAATACTAAATGTGAGCCTCTTTAGTGGAATAGGGTGGGGTCGGAGCCAGAAGGACCCCTGTCCTGGACCCAGGTGTCGAGTAATTAATTAAACCAGTTAATCAATCAGTCATGTTAAGTCACTCATCAGCATCTGCCTAGCACCCACTATATGCCACACACTATACACAGGCTGGGCCTCGGTCCCAAGGGCTCACAATCCTATAGGGGAGGTTGAAATATGAACAAGCAGACAAAAAATATGACTACAGTGTGATACATGCCAGAAGCAGGTAGAGGTGATGGAAACAAAGAGGGAGGGGGCCTAACTCCAGGGGCAGAGGGATGACACTCGGTGTCTGGCTTGGATGATGAGGTGTGGACGCTGGATGGATAGGAGTGGGGACTCGGGAGCAGAACTTTCAGGAGCAGGCCCACACTGCAGGGAAAACAGTGGGAGGTAGGCGTAGATGGGTGGGAGTTCTCGGGTGGAGCTGAAATCTGGAATTTGACGGAATTTTAACCAGAGGAGGAGGAGTCAATTCGAGTAGAAGATTTCCTTCGGCACCTGGTGAGGAGGCAGGACTCCGTGGAGACGAAGAACACAGGCTCTGGACTGAGAGCATCTGAGTTCAGATTCCAGCCCCGCTGCGGGGAAGATGGGTAGTTGAGCGCTTGTTGGGACAACTGGCATAACCCTCAGTAAGTGTTGGCTTTTGTCACTGTTGTTATTCAGTCAATCTCCAAATGCTCTTAGTTTTTCCTTTGAAGTGTTTCTCGTGTCTTGCTTTGACTCTCTTGCAGCAGTGACCACCTGAGCCTCTGCACCTGAGCGCTGCTCCACCCCCCTCACCTCTGCGTTTCCATGTGTCTAGAAAGCCAGTCTTGTTGGCTTGCTTTCCTCTCCTGCAACCAGCCTGTGGACCAGCCCCACACTGAGCCTCCTTAGTGTCATGTTCCAGCCACTTCTCTGCTCAAAGGCCTCGATGTGCCCTGTGTTGGAGAAGTACCAGTGTGACCATTGTCCCCTTACGGATGAGAACACCATGGGCCAAAGAGGCTAAGTGAGCAGGCCATATTCCTAAGGCAGCCCAGCCCAGCCCCTTCCTAGCTAAGCATCCTTGAACAAGCAAGGGAACCATCCAGAGCCTGAACGCCCCAGGCATTGAAAGGGATGTTGGAAGAGCTCCCTGCAGGGTGGAAACAAGGATGGAGTGAGGATTATAACCTAAGTGAAGGGCTGGTAGTGCGTCTGGCACACAGGACGCGGCTCTAGAGCATTGAAGCCCCTTCTCTCCAGCTGGGTGGGTGGTCCCTGGCCCCAAGAGCCCACCAGGACTGTATGCACATGCTGCCTCCTCTCCGGTGCCTTCCTTCCCTTTCCACTTTCCACGCCCCTGTCACCCTGTTAGCTCAGCACCACCCGCTGCCCCACGAGCTCCTCTGCACCCCTGACTTCCCCA